AACAAAGATAAAGCAATTCGATGAAAAGGGCCTAAAGACAAATCCCATCTCATAATCAATATTATGGTTTATAACATTATCGATCTTGTTACAGCCAAAACCATTTCATATAAACAGAGCGTATTAACAAAGGAAATGCCGATGTAGGCATTAAATGTAACAAATCGATTGGCAATGCGTAAAATATCAGGTAAACGTTTGTCTACTTTATTTCAACATGGTGATTTCATTATTAGCCGCGGAAGTACCCAGTGTTGCTAAACATGATATTTTCTGCTTAACAATCTTAAAAGTTTGAAGTACAAAAATATTCATTATAAAGCTAAATGGATTTCAAAAGCTTAAGGGATAATTTCTTTTCAATATAAAGCGCTTGCATTTAAGTAATAATTACGGCCGTTGTGTTCTACAAATTGTCATTTGAACGTCAGCACATATCAAGATTTCGATATTATGCAGAATAACTGATATACATGGAATCATGTAAATTGACAATTGACGGCAGTGCTTTCAGGCAAGCTGACTTCACATGTTAATATGTAAGTTTTAGCAATATATAGCAAAATAAACAATTTAAAAAATATTGTCTTTCTTTCTTCCTTATGCAATTAATACTTTACTTGGTTTATGTTATATTATTTCGATGCCATATAGCCCATAAAATAAAACATTTACATTCAAATGTATTGGTCACAAGAAAACATACGTGTAATTGTATCAATGTAAAAATTACATGGGATTACATGTAAAACCCATTATATATTGACATTTTTAATGCAAAAATATTGATCCATAAACATTTGATCTATTTTATGCATTTTTTGACACGTTTGGAAATCACAAATGTATTTGTCTAGACGTTGATTAAAAATGTGTTTATGAAACATGTCTGTACTTTCTTTTTCTAACTGTAAATATATTGCAGAATTGCAACATAATTTCACAAATAAAGTTGGTCTGTAATTATGCCGGTATTCATGAGAAGTAACGCATTTTATGAATTAATATAACAATGATAAAAGTACAGGAAGTAAGAATTCGACCGCAACATTGAAAGATTAGCGGAAAATTGCTTTTCATTATGGCCAGTAATATGCAGACGTTCAGGTCAAGAATTTTCTATTAAATGTTACTTTCTTATCCCGTGCGTAGCATGAAGTGTGCAGACATTCTTTTACGAGGATAAAACAAGATCGTAAAAAGTTTAGAACAACGAAATGAAGAAATCCGCATCACCAAATTGTTTCGTGTACATTAACCATTGTGTATTTAATCAGTTGAATCCACTTACCGAATATAAACACATATTTTAAACTTTCACGGCTGAATTACAATCACAGAAACTCAAATACATTAACATCTGTTGTAAATTGTGTGTAGTAATTGGAAATGTTTGCGAAAACGTAATATTATATTCAGCTGATCTTTGAAATATTAAATAAAAGACGGCGGAAATAATTACATTCTCTATTTTTTATAGAATAATTCTTCGAACAATACCTGTAGTAAAAGTGTATAGTATCTTTTAAAATTATTGTTTTCTGAATACAATGTGTTTTAAATCATAATATCTTAATGTCAATCTAGTGGTTATATCTAGATTAACACGTAATATTCAAATGTTCATCGAATTGTTTTTATGCAATAATTATTAATAATAATATCTGTATTAATCATATAAGAATGAAGGACAAATATTTATATATATATACATGTAATCAATATTATGGTTTATAACATTATCGATCTTGTTACAGCCAAAACCATTTCATATAAACAGAGCGTATTAACAAAGGAAATGCCGATGTAGGCATTAAATGTAACAAATCGATTGGCAATGCGTAAAATATCAGGTAAACGTTTGTCTACTTTATTTCAACATGGTTATCATTATTAGCCGCGGAAGTACCCAGTGTTGCTAAACATGATATTTTCTGCTTAACAATCTTAAAAGTTTGAAGTACAAAAATATTCATTATAAAGCTAAATGGATTTCAAAAGCTTAAGGGATAATTTCTTTGCAATATAAAGCGCTTGCATTTAAGTAATAATTACGGCCGTTGTGTTCTACAAATTGTCATTTGAACGTCAGCACATATCAAGATTTCGATATTATGCAGAATAACTGATATACATGGAATCATGTAAATTGACAATTGACGGCAGTGCTTTCAGGCAAGCTGACTTCACATGTTAATATGTAAGTTTTAGCAATATATAGCAAAATAAACAATTTAAAAAATATTGTCTTTCTTTCTTCCTTATGCAATTAATACTTTACTTGGTTTATGTTATATAATTTCGATGCCATATAGCCCATAAAATAAAACATTTACATTCAAATGTATTGGTCACAAGAAAACATACGTGTAATTGTATCAATGTAAAAATTACATGGGATTACATGTAAAACCCATTATATATTGACATTTTTAATGCAAAAATATTGATCCATAAACATTTGATCTATTTTATGCATTTTTTGACACGTTTGGAAATCACAAATGTATTTGTCTAGACGTTGATTAAAAATGTGTTTATGAAACATGTCTGTACTTTCTTTTTCTAACTGTAAATATATTGCAGAATTGCTACATAATTTCACAAATAAAGTTGGTCTGTAATTATGCCGGTATTCATGAGAAGTAACGCATTTTATGAATTAATATAACAATGATAAAAGTACAGGAAGTAAGAATTCGACCGCAACATTGAAAGGTTAGCGGAAAATTGCTTTTCATTATGGCCAGTAATATGCAGACGTTCAGGTCAATAATTTTCTATTAAATGTTACTTTCTTATCCCCTGCGTAGCATGAAGTGTGCAGACATTCTTTTACGAGGATAAAACAAGATCGTAAAAAGTTTAGAACAACGAAATGAAGAAATCCGCATCACCAAATTGTTTCGTTTACATTAACCATTGTGTATTTAATCAGTTGAATCCACTTACCGAATATAAACACATATTTTAAACTTTCACGGCTGAATTACAATCACAGAAACTCAAATACATTAACATCTGTTGTAAATTGTGTGTAGTAATTGGAAATGTTTGCGAAAACGTAATATTATATTCAGCTGATCTTTGAAATATTAAATAAAAGACGGCGGAAATAATTACATTCACTATTTTTTATAGAATAATTCTTCGAACAATACCTGTAGTAAAAGTGTATAGTATCTTTTAAAATTATTGTTTTCTGAATACAATGTGTTTTAAATCATAATATCTTAATGTCAATCTAGTGGTTATATCTAGATTAACACGTAATATTTAAATGTTCATCGAATTGTTTTTATGCAATAATTATTAATAATAATATCTGTATTAATCATATAGGAATGAAGGACAAATATTTATATATATATATACTATATGTTTGTTAATGTTTCTAAATAAAGTAAATACAATTTACCGCACTGGATATCAGACATGTGAGAGGAGTAAATTATAGGATGTGCGTTATAAATTTCAAATATCACTAACATTTAGTTATGAACATTCATGTTTTACAGATAATTTATCAAATTTTGTTTTATACTTTCTTAAATGCATTTAAGCGGATTCAAGTTTGGAAACTAACCGGGTACATGTTCTACCATATATCATTCAACCACGAGATATTTGTCTTTAAAGTCTACGATCGCTTTAATATATTGAAGCCTTATTTAATATAGACATTGTCCAATCTGATTTTAAGTAATCAACAAGTATGTCTGAATGTTAATGTTCATAGTAAATGCAACTGGGCCAGATTACTCTCTAATAAAAATACGTAATGATAATCGTTTAAACAGGTGTAACGTATTGTAATAGAAATTTAAACGCTGCTGGCTATATTTTAAGTGCCTTGTATACGCCATCATTAATATACCGTTATTACGCCAGGATGATATTCGTCTCATTACCTATATTGATTCTAGAATGTATTAACGGTAATGGCATTTCATGACGTTGACAGTGAGAAAATGTTCTATCCGATCATTCCTGTAATAAAATATAACATCTTAATTTAAAGCAAAATTGGTCGATTCCTATTACGCAATGATTTACTTTTCATGATCAGGCTTTATAAAGAGGAACTCTTTCTACGTGGTTCTTTGTCAAAACGTATTTCTGTCTGACGTCTGATTATTATTGTTATTTTGGCTGTCCTTTATTATACAGAATGATAAATTACAATACGACAGACTCCATTATACAGCTCGACCGTTACATTGCTGTGCATGGCGGATAATTCGCTTTCAGTACTCTTGTAAATCACTAGATTTTCTTGTCTGAAAGTTTTACTAGAAATAAGCATATGGTTTAAACACGCAAGATTTATGGAGCGTAAATTAATGAAATGATTCTTAGATATAAAATGTCATGGTTCATTTAAAGCTTTCTTTTTCGATTTTTTCATTCGACTATTTTGTCTATACTATTGACAATTGAATACTGTTAAATCTATGAACGCGGAACATGTTACACTTTCATTTACAGATTCAGTCAAATTGAGTCTAAGATGATTTTCATTTAATTCACTTTTTCATTATTTTCACAAATGACACTTTCCAATAATATTTTTAAATTTGTTGTAATTTTCGAGGATGGACTTTTATCATTTGCAGTTTAATATATACATTCATTCAACTTTAAAATATCATGATATTTGAAATAGATGCACAATATAAATAATCACTTAATGTTGGCATTACATTCGATAGCTCTGCTATTTTATATGTCAACCACATAAATAGTTCAGACAGAAAACGCAAGGTATAATTTTAATCTGACTTCTATAAAAACACAGAAATGACTGCATTAGTCTTGTTCTGTTCTGATGATGCGTCAAAGTAAATATTACAAATGTATCTGCCACTTTCTATAATTGAGATATTGATTGTAATGACTTTCTTAATTCAGAACGAAATAATCACTAAAGCTATACAAGCATTGTGACGGTAACATTGACATATATACAACAGTACAACAGAAAGAAAACTTTAACTTACAAAACGTGTATATGCGATGTTTAAGTTGCCAACAGCTTTGACCTCTGAAAATACATTGAAAAGTAAAATAATTAAAGGGATGTTAATTCATTAGAAATTTGTGGTTTGTGAGGGTAACACTTATTATATAACAAAGAAATTTTTTTTTAATGCGATGATAAAAATAATGAAAGCTACAACAAGTTTGTTCACTGTATAGGGTACAATAAAAATGTTCAAGATAAACTACTCAAACTAACAACGATTTCAGTTAAGTATTTTTAAAATTCCTTAGAATTTCATTGTCTAAAAAACATAAATAAAATTGCTCAGTGTTCTTCAATTTCAAATGCATCACTAAGTGATCGTAACTATCTATGCTTCCTTAAAGCTGAAAAAATTGATTCACGCACGTGTTATAGAAATGTTTCGGTAAATTGTTAGCTGCAGAAGCTGATTAATTTTCAATCACATTGCAGATATATTGTTTCCTTTTTACGTGATTTAAGGGTTGTTAACACGCAAAATATTGCAGTCAGTTTTTCGGTGGTTGAAAACAAAACGTAATAACAAGTTATCGATTTGTATAGTTTACCACCAGATTATTTCAATGTGTGTAAATCGTAAATGCAAGTAAGTAAGTTTATGCAGCATTTAAACATAATAATTGAAAGACAAACAATAAAATATACAATAACAACAAGAAGAAGATAAAATACAAAATATCATTTGATAGGATTCGTTTATGTCGTTCTTTCCAACATGCATATACTCATATATTATATGTTTATAAAAATATCTACATCTACAAAATACCTTTAAAAACACCCTGGATACACAAACGCAGACAGAACAACAATAAATTGGGAGAAAAATAAACGTTTGTACAGTTGTACTGTGCTAATGTACCAATACCCAAGTACTTTCGGCGTATTATGCATTGATCACGGGTGTGTTACATGTATGATGTGCACACAATGGAGCACAAAATCTCTATACGTGTGTATTGGATATTATCAAAAATTGAACTGAATCAATGTCGCTAGAATGGTGATAGAATTGCACCGATTTTGAAAAGACCGTTATTGAATAGCCATTATTGTAATACTTTATAAAAGAATAATATAGCCCGAGGACAATGTGGCGAAAAGTAGATTTAATATCGCATCTTAAGGAATTCAGAACCTTTTTAACAAAAATCAAATCTGCATGTATAAAGGTGTTTTAAAAGTATTAGAAATTGCAAGTTTCGTCAAGTAGGGTATTTCATAAAGGAGAAATTAACTGCTTTCAACACAAATGACAATAGATGAAATGTTCCCAAGCTCCAAAAATGCCCTCACAGGAAGATTTTTTTCTCAGATATGGGCAAGGATTTGTGATAAAGTTGGTCTCCTTTATTGATTCCTGACGGCTCAAGCGTGTTCAGTCGGCGGATCCAGTATATCGCACGTGATTTGCGTTTTACATCTGATCACTGTGTGTTGCGTTCAATACATTAAAGGGACACGTCTTTAAAACTGTGTCCCTAAAGGTGAAAATGTTCAGCGACTTGGGATATGCTAAAGGTACATGACACCATTGCATGTCAATATCAGCAATTAAGCGCCGCAAACTTAATGGCTTTAAGGGTACTGACGCTAGCATTTGTCCTAAACAAGTTGGCGTAAGATGGTGCCGTTTTGGTTCCCATAGCCGTGACTTGTATCTGCAGGAAATGTTTGTCATTGAAAATAAAGCTGTTGTCATCTTGGACAGAGATCACTATATTTTGGAAGCCAAATGTCAGCTTAAAGACACTAACTTGTTCAAACAAGGATACATTACCGAGAAAAAAAAAGCTTTCTAAATTCAAAATGTCACCATTTCCATGTTTAAATGTTAAATTTTGCTTACGCCGGTGCTTGGGGGCGTGGATGGTAACTTGCACTTTCCAGTACTGTCCATGAACATGCTCAATCAAACCGAGCCGGCAACATTTTCAATTTTGCCGTGTTGGGCTTTCTTTAGGGATTCTGTTTTTCTCTATTTTATTGTCACATCCGTGTTATTTGTGCCATGTGGCGGCTGTAAAAAGTATCCCCGTACATTTCATCAAATATGTTATATTTTCGATTCTTGAAGATCGTTCAGCACGGCATTATTGTTGTGTATGCATGTTAAGTGGTATTTTTATTTTCTTCTATTTGGCCTTTTTTCAACTTGGGTGGTTCCAGTATTCCTACTGGAATACTGTATAATCACACTTAGGATATATTTGTCATTTAATGATTGACCTGTCCGTGTTCTGTCTTTGCCCTGTCCTGTTTTTGTTTGGGGTCCGCCTGGGCTCCTTGCCGCTGGCTCTTGTGGCTGGGTCATGTGGGGGTTGCGTTCATTGAACGCCGCCTTTTCTTGTTGATCTTGTTTTATTATTTAGGATATGTTGCCTGCTTTTTTAAATTTGTCTTTTGACGACGTCTTATCTGTGATATGCAAGCTTCATAACCTCAGATCCCCTTTCAAAATTCCATTTTATTTAGTTCTCGTTTAAGGCACACGCATTTTATTAATTGGGGACCATAAACCGCCTTTAATAGAATGGCACTAACGTGTCACATTGAAGGTTTCATGATGACCACCGTATGAACACATCTGCAGATGTTTCTAAATTTAAAATTTCACCATTTCATGTTTAAATGTTGAATACTGCTTAAGCCTGTGCTCGGGGACGGTAACTTGCATATTCCATTACCGTCAATGAAAAGGCTCAATCAAACCGAGCCTGTAACATTTTCAATTTATTATTATTAATCTTTTATTCAATCATTTATTTGTTTTCTTTTAGTTCCTTATCAGTTACTAATTATTTATGATTTTAGTGGTTAGCCGGTCCATGCTCTGCCTTGTGCCCTGTCCGGTTTTTGTTTGGGGTCCTCCTGGGCTCCTTGCCGCTGGCTCTTGTTACTGAGTCGGTGGGGGTTGCGTTCATTGAACGCCGCCTTTCCTTGTTGATCTTGTTTATCATATTTTAGTCGTTTTGTACGTTCTTTAAGGATTCTTTATTTCTCTCTATTTCCTCTACCATAATACTTCGGTCTTGGACAGAAATTAAGGCTTTAAGAGAGAAGGGAGTGTTTTTGTTCCGTTAAAGAGCGGTACTTGACAAAATAGAGTGAGATATACCTGTAGAATTGGTATTTGTTGACCGTTCATACTTAGATTGCCTGTACCGTCACAAGCGATGCGTCTTGGGCTTTAAATCAGTGTCAGAATGATGGTTAGGCTTTGTGTTACTGCGGAGGAAAGTAGAAGTCTTAAGTTTTTTGTTTTGCTCAGTAGTAAGTTACGTTTCAAATTTTGGATAATACTGTCCCATGGGGTAACGTAATTCACTGGATATACTGTTTATGTTACTGCATAAAGAATGTGTACGATGTGTTATATGCCATGAAAAAGAGTCAGTTATCGCAAAGAAGTATTGACCGCGGGCGATATTACTCTTATGTTAAGTATAACAAAAATGACGGTCTTAATATCATAATCGATGCAATTTTATCACCTTTCTAGAGACATTTTTTTCAGTTCAATTTTTGATATAGTTCACACGTATAGAGTGCACACTATACATGTAATACACCCCTGATGACGGCAAAGTACGCCGAAAGTATTTGGGTATTTATACTGTAGCACTGTATGAACGTTTGTTGCTGCGTGAAAAGTAACTTGATAATTTGATGTTTAGCGTGTCTTCTAATTAATAAGGATAGTGTCATTAAGAGGCGTGAGTATTCTCGAAGGCCGACTGTTCGTTGTATTAATGTCTGCATTTCTTTTCTACACTTAAAACCGGCAATATTTGCCACGCCATTCAAGATTAGAAATAACATGGCACGTGTGAGAAATAGATGACTCCGATTAATGAAAACAACAATCGTGATAATAGTATTTCATGACTTAAACAGGTTATATATAAAGTTTTGGGTTACATATCAAACATATCATTCCATAATTAGCACAATTTTAAGTTAATTTTGTATGAATTTAAATTCAGTATACATGAAAGTACTTTTGTTTTCTGATAAACGTAAAGATTTACCTGTCTTTTTTATACATTTGTTATTATAAATGAACTATTTTTATAGTTCTCTTTGAAACTTTTAATTGTCCTTTTTAAAAAGCGGTGTAAATGCTTTCTTAGTGAACAGTTGTTGTTATATGTTTACGTTGAGTAACAAAAACTAGCATTTATTTAAAATCATTTATTTAAATCAATAATGATACAACTCAACTTTAACCCCAGAATATGAATGCAATAAAACATATCTTTGTTCGAATCTGTTTCCGAGGCGACAACAAGTACTTCATGCAATGTGAATGTTATATCACAGAAATTGTTAACACTTATAGCTAGGACGAGATCTCGTTTAGATAACACGTGACAAGGCAGATATGCCTATCTGGAAACAATCCCGTGATATTCTGTGGGTTAAATGATTTAACATGAAAGACTAATCAATCTAATTTCCCCTTAAAAGAGTTCGTAGATCTAACAGGGTAATTAAGTGGAGACAGGATGGTTGTTTTGAATAAATAAAAGACGTCATATTAGAAGAACGTTTAAGAAACCAGGAAGAACAAGTCACACGAATTAGAATATAATTGATATCTGGACACTCGTTCATCATTACATCAAAGCTACAGATCGCAATAAGGATCGATATCCATTCTATTCCTAAATATCATATATCATTGCTGTTTGAAAGTAACTTGATAGTTTGATGTTTAGCTTATCTGCTAATTATTTAGGATAGTGTCATTAAGCATATCTTTTCTATTTTTAAGGTCCGCCAATCATTGCCAAGCCAGTCAAGATTAGAAATAACATGACACATTTGAGACATTGATGACACCGATTAAGGAAAACAACAATCGTGATTAAAGTGTCACGACTGAAACAGGTTATATATACAAGTTTTGTGTTAATTGATACAAATTACATATCAAACATATCATTCCATAAATTAGCATAATCTTAATTGTCTATGAATTCAAATTCATTATACATGAAAGTACTTTTATTTGCTA